CCCCAAAACCCCAAAACCCCAAAACCCCTTTTGTATTTAAAAAAATTGGAAATAAAATTATAAAATTAAATTCATTTTTAATGTATTTTGAAGCAAACTCTCGTAGTGGAGGGCAAAAGAGAACCTCTAGTGGCAAAGTATCTATAAGCGGTGTAAAAAGAAATAAAAAAATTGGATCTCATGATAAAAGCCATACAGAAAAAGTTTCTGAAACTAAAGAGCAAGAAGAGGACTTCAAAAGATCCCAAGACTACGAAAATCTTAGCAAACTTGATGATATGAAAATTGAGAAGCCAGCTACCCTAGCCTCCGATGCCGACCACAAAGTCCTCTCCCACTATAAAGAAATCAACCCAGCACTTCAAGAAATCTCGCTTAAGAATCTGCCGAACGACCTCACCCAGAGAAGAGAAAAACTTGCTGAAATCCAAACCAAGGCAGAAGCCAACAAAAGATTTGTAGAAGACAGTCTGGAAGAAAGCAACAAGAAGATCAAGAAAGGGTTGAAACATGTGAAGGCAATTGATGAAGAGAACCTTGGAGAGCAAGAGAAGTTGGAACATAGGTGAGTAAGGTCTTTTATGGTGTAGACTGGGAGACCTGAGGAAGGAGAGGACTGAGTTTGAAGTGAGAAGAGTGCAGAAGTTAGGTGAGGATATGTTATCTCCATTAGAACAGCAAGGAATTGTTCTTTGCTTTTTTGTGGGATTTTTAGGGGTTAGATGAAGTTTTTGGGTACTTATGGTGTAGGTGGAATAGTAAATGAACTATATTCAGAGCGTTCTGAGTTAGTAGCCAAGTCTAGCAAGAAAATGGAGAAGATAAAAAAATCTCTCAACGATTTAGCAAGCGGAATAAGTAAAAGAACAACATTTATCTAATTTAGGTCAGAATATTAACATACAAGATCAACCAGAAACAGTGAAATTACTTAAAGATTCTTGAGCTGAACTCCCTCATCTTCCTCAACACATTGATCTTAATATAAAGAATGTGGTAAAGACAGATTCACCAAAGAATGTTAAGAAATTAATACTTGGGCTTGAAAGCTTAACAAACAAAAGTTCAGCAGATCTGACAGTGGAATTGAAAGATTATCCAGAATTTGCAAATGCTGAATCAGATCTGATTGAAGACGCTTCTCAAATTGAAGAAAAGATGATTGATCGTATAAACAAAGCTTTAGAAGAGTTAGATGAAGAGGCAAAAGGTATGTGCTTTAAGAACCATAAAATGAATTTTTAAGAAACAACATTTTTAAAATTTGACATAACTACTTTTTAACTTAGGAAATCAATTTTGAGCAACGACATTAGCTTTGCAGTATCATTGCCAAGCTAATTATTAGTTTTTTTTAATATTCTTAGGTTAACTTTCTCTTATTCTTCTCCAAAATTCTAATCCTTTTCACCTACTTTCTCTAGAAATCCCAGAATCTTCTACTCATAATCTCCCACACACCTCACCAAGTCCAAGAAAACCAAGGTATTTCTTAGTTTATAACAAATCAGAACCGCTACTGACAAATCTTTTAAACAAAGTCAACCTAAAACTACAAAGCCATATGGGTCTGAATATTCAGCTGGTGTTTCTGAATTCCCAGACGGCAGATCCAGAAAAGTAATACGAGAGGCCATATTTAGTAAGTAGAGATTTAAATTAACCCTAGGCGATGTTGATTTGCTCTCTGACTTAGAAATTGGTAAAGTACAAAGACATAAATTTAGATCAAATACTCCCGGATAAATTGAGCAATGCTTTTGATAAATTTGAAAAGAGCATTGAGAATGGTGTTAAGAAAGGTAGAAAAGATGAATTTAATAGTTTAGAGTTGAGTAATATTCAAAAAGCTCAGGATCAAATAAATAAGAGTCAGATTGAAGAGCAAAAACATGATCCTTCCTTTCATAGTTCCAGCTTCAAGGCTGAAGGCAAAGAAACAGAAATAACCCTTAAAATTTGTAAGTAATGATAAACTTTTTAACTAGATTTTAATTCTGATATATTTTTATCTTTTCGAAAACCTTTCTTTAGAAAAGCTTGTGAAAATTGATGAGCAAATATGATGAATTGATTCTACAGAAAAAAGAATCAGAACGAATAATAGTAAGTGATACTTGTTCTTTCATATCATAGACTTTCATTTCCAAATTTGTAAAATTTTTCTAATTTTGAAGCAAAATTTATATCGAATAGAAAATATTATTGATTCTATTTCTAATTATAAAAGCAATCATTATTTCAAGAAATAAACACTTTATTAGATTTTAAATTAAAAGATAAAGTTGACTCTTAAGCAAGGGTTCAAACCTGTCATTTTTAACTAAAATAAAAGCTAAAGCTTAGCCTAATAAAATATAGGATGAGGAGAATGATGCATACTATAAAACAAACAGGAAAAAATTCTTTAAAGGATATGTTGATGGTTGTGGATTGTGTTATTATACTAACGTAAGTGAGAACCGAGAATTGATGAATTCTGTGGAGAATTGCTTAGATATATAAAACTTTGAGCAGCTATTTATTAATTCTGTCAAATATATTCCTAGAATTACTAGCATGGGAAAATTAGGAGAGTATTATTTATTTACCAAGTAAAAGAATTCTTGAACTAATTTTAAATATCAAAGAAAATTTTGTTCAAAACAATTTGAAACTAAATAATCAAAACTTTAGTTTTGATAGAAGTAACTATTTTTAAAGAATATTTATAGTTTATTCTAAGTATTATGTAATGCCAGAAAACCCTTTCTAGTCGCATCATTTCTTATTTGAAATAGTTTGGAAACTATCTATAGATCATTTCTGTAGTTTTATTGTTAGGTTGACAATGAAATTTGGTTAATTTGAAATGGTAAACTTTTAGGTAAATAAACTAAATCTTTATTACATCATAACAATTTTTGTCTCAAATTAGAACTTTTAGAATTAACTCTTAGCTTTCATAAGGTTTATTTCCAATTTTTCTTTCAATAAAAATACTTTACTTCATTAAGATTGCAATATTTTATAGTTATTTTTAAGTAATTCCAAATACGAGCTTTAGTCGTTGCAATTCATATGCTCTTCAAAAAATTTTGAAGATATCTTTTATCAGATTTATATTTTCGGATCCTTTCTTTATTTTGAGTTATTATATACTAAAATTTAGAAACTTTATTCGTAGACTTTTAGCTTATGATATTTTAGTCAAGGATAAGAGAGAGTTCCGAGAAGAGAAGATTAGTGGCATTAAAAGATGGTAATTTTTTTATAACAATAAAGAGGATAAAGAGATGTACAACCAATTGAGTAAATTAGTAAAAGATTTAAAGAAAGCTTTTAAAAAATTAGTGGAAAGCGAAATTTTTCATAATTCTCAGAATCCTGGATTTCTAAATTTATTTTCATGCTATAATGAAAATATGGAAATTCTCCAAAGCCAATCGAAACAACATATTCCTTATGGGGTAACAAAATTCAAACAAATACTTTCTAAATCAAAAACTGGTAAGAATTTATTACAGCTAAATAATAATACTCTAGAAAACTCTTCTTCAAGTATTTTACACAAAGAACCAAAGGAGTCTTCTAAAGAAACAATCTCAGCCGCACTCACAAAAATTTCCAACCAACTTACCCACGAAATCTTCCTTCTAAAATCAAGCATTTCAGAATACATCCAAAAATCCCATTCCACAGCCCCAAAACCCCCCTCCCAGTCCTCTTCAGATCCAGACCCCCAACCCACTGATTCATCCTCTCAATCTCCCAAAACCCAAAAGACCCTTTCTCAACTAACAGCTTGCCTAAAAGCCTGCAAGCAAGGATTCACCGATTGTCAAACCCAAAAGAAGAGCTTCAACCGATTTATTTCGCAGAAAATGAAACAGAAAGAGGAAGATTATAGGTACCTGAAAAAAGAATATGACGAACTTTACCAAAAAGTTGGGAGTACTAATGAGGATAATAGAAAAAGACAAGGAGCTTTGGAAAAGTATTTTAGGAGTGTTGATATGGTTTGTGGAAAAGTTTTAAAAGGGTTTGAGATAACATCCACAGCTTTAGGCCAGAAAACAGCCCATCTTAACGACCTCAGTAACCTCTCCCAATCACCTATAGCTAACAAAATCACAAAATTCAATACAAAAATAACATCACATAACCAAAAAGCAACCGCAGTAAACACCAAAAACCTTGCTCTCATCACTTCCCTCCAAAAACACATCGAAACTTTACTCACCGACAAAAACTCAGCCTTCAAAAACCTTCGTTCGCTCACCGTAAAAATCGCCGAAGCAATTCCAGAAAACTTAATTCCCGAGTATAAAGTTGATATCGATGCTCTTCACAAGCAACTTTCCCAAGAAGAAGCCTCCCTCGCAGCTTCAGTCAAAGAACTAAAACACGAAATAAAACTCCATTACAAAATTACTGAAGAATCCAATAAAAGAAAGGACATAGAGATGGAAGAAGTCATGGTACAGAGAGCCAAATGCGATTTATTAGAGTTTGTTAATCAAGAGGTAGCCCAAGGTGAGTAGTTGTGAAGTAATTATTTAGAAGTAAAGGATGTTGAAGATGAAATTGACAGATTGGGAATAAGAGAGAGGGCAAACGAAGGAGGGAAAGTGAAGGGCTGTAATGGATGCACAGTGGTTTATAAGAATATTAGTGAACTGAAAAATTTGTCTGCAAGTGCTATTGTAGTACCAATTAATGAACAGCTTAGGGTTAATAATATTGCAAATGAGTATAGTGGTCTTGATTTGAAGAATAATGACCATTTTAAGGATAAGTGAGATAAATTTAAGAAAGAGAATTATCGTTTGAGAACTGGATTATCTACTGTATTTGAAGCTAAGAAAATGAAGGCTGATAATGTTATTATTGCTGCATGCCCAATTATCAACAACACTAAAGGATTTTCTAAGCAATTGATGCAAAAAGTTATTTTAGGAATTTTAGACAAAATTATCGATTACGACTTTAGTAAGTAATTTTTTAATGATAGAATCGATAATCATCCCCACGTTCTCCAACAGCATCTCAAATTTCCCAGACAATATATTCAAAAAGTTAATAAAAGAGGTATTAAGCTCCTATAAGCATTTTAATTCTCTAGGAAATATTAAAATTCACAGAACAAAATTCTGAGATGCAGGATAAAGAGATTATTTTATGTATTTAATCTTTAATAACCATATAGGTTTAAGATCTGCAAAGGGTAAGAGATTCATCTTTAACAATTTTGAAACCTAACCCATTTGATTCTATAGATGGAGGCTATATTGAAGGAAAAGAAGATGAAATAGTAAGGCCCTTTTCTAATTATAATTTAGGATCAAGAAGAAACCAAAGAAGAGTATGCCTCCGATCCTGATTTGGAATGGACTGATTTGATAATAATACTTTATTTAGAACCAAGGAAGAGAGTGAAAATGACAATCCAGAAGATTTAAAAAAGAAGATACAAAAAGTGAAAGAAAGAAAAAATGAAATAAAACAACAATATAATGAATTATGAAGTGATTTCAATGAATTGAAAGAAAAGAATGAACAACTAGAGAAAGACAAAAGGGAAGCCATAAACCAATTATTTGAAATTACAAGAGATGACAAATATTATCAAGAGTCTAATGAAGAATATAAAGTAATTTTAAGACTATTTATAGAGTGCGAGTAATGACTCAAATGAAGAATGTGAAGAAGAAGTAAGATTATCTTTGAATCTTTAGGCACTCTCTAGACATAATTCGATGCCTTGCAGTAAGAAGAAAGCAAGAAATATAAATGATTCCTCATCAGGATCATCTAGAAAGAGAGAAAAGAAATCTAAGAAAGAGAAAAAAGAGAAGAATAAGTTGAAAGAAAAGTATGGTTGCGAATAATTCAATTACTAATTCTGATTAACAGCTAAAAAAATTACTTATTTCTTATTCACAATGGTCTGAAAACCATCCGGGGTTTTGGGGTTTTGGGGTTTTGGGGTTTTGGGG